GTGGGTGGGGATATGATGGAACAGTTCATGCGAAACTACATGGTAGTATTAGAAATCATGGCTAATTGCAGATTAACCAGAAAAAAAAAAAATGTCAAAGATGTAAAGCTGAAACTAAGATAGTTAACCAACCACATCATCCTCTTTATGCATCCATTCATGAGATTCTGAAAATCTCATAACGATATGGTATTCTGAAAATCTTAGATGGGCTTCGTAGCTCAAGTTTTACAAGGATTGAACTTATCTCTTATTGCAGGGGTTTAGTTACTCGTTTCAAAATAGTTGAACTTAATTCTTTAAACAGGTTCTAAAAATATCAAGAAGATTTAAGAGGATTTGACCTAATCTTCATATCTTTTATCCACCAAACGAATCAGATCCCATATTGAATATTTGTTTTTGAATTACAAAAGTACGATTGGATAACTCCCGTTGTAAATGTTGCGATTTTGAGTTATTGAGAATTTTTGTTATTTTTATTTATGGAAAAATTGGAAATAAAGGACTTTTTTTTATCTTTGTCCATCAATACCTTTATTTTTTAAGTTTGGTTATATATACTTTAATTTATTTAAAATCCTATTGCCTTTAATCAGAAATATTAGATTTAATTATATTTTAGAGAGTAATTTCTAATAATATTTATTGGCTCAATTGGTTGATGAGTTATAAATTTTTGATTGATGTCTTAAGTTCAAAGCCTCCTCATCTCTTCTGTTTTAATACTTTTTTATTTATCAATGAGATTAATTTTTTAAAGACAAAAAAAAACAAGCATCAACTTCGTAAATCGTGAACTCTAGTTCATTACTGAATCGTTAAGAAACCAACACAAATTGATTTGCAATTTTGATTTATTCCTGAATCATCAAGAACCAATAATAACAATTTTAATAATTTAGTCATATTTTTTTTAATTTCACTAATGATTTCTTTTAAAATATTTTCTAATTATTTATGAAAACCCTTCTAAATTGTTAATCCTTTTGAGAGATAGCTAATTGTGTTTACTTTACTTTACTTTACTTACAAGTCTACTTTTATACTGCAAATCTTTAATCATTTATATTTGGTATATATATACTATGCATTAGTTACATACATTTAATCATGTTCAAGTCTTAAACATATGAAAAGAAAAAAAATATAAGAAAAAGATAGAGTATATATAAGAGAAATCAACAATTTACTGAATTCTGAAAAAAACAGAATACGTATTCTAATGATTGGAGAATGTAATCGAACAATATATTCGATTTCCTAAACTGCTAGATTCATATAAAAGATTTCAAATATTTAGTTTCCTTAATTTCTTGAATTCTACAATAATTTAGAATTGGTTTTCTAAATTTTACAGAATTGGTTTTCTTAATCTGCTATTTTTAGAATTAACTTTTGT